TTCTATCTCTCACCACCTGCTTTCCCCCTCCCCTCCCTCATCCCTTTCCCTCCCTCGCCCATCTCGCACGCGCCCTGGATCAAGCATCGCGGCCTGGCTCTTGCCTTCCTACAGCCACACACTCACATCACCATGACCACCCACAAGCAGACATACTAACGCCACCTCAGGAATCCGCTGCGATGGAAAATACCCATGTGAGCAGTGTCTGAACGCCGCGCTCACCTGCAAGCGCGATCACGTTCCCAAGAAGAGGGGTCCGAAACGTGGCCATGGCCGGGTCATCAACGAGCTTCGAGCCAAGGACACCTTTCCGGGCCAGCTATCTCTCGACGGAGGAGGAGTAGGTGCTCAAGGCTCCCAGGACAATCCCACAGAGTATGTGCGCCGCCGACTCTCCGCCGCCTGTCCGCCCCTGAGCCTCGATCCGTCCATGAGCGACTCGTCGGCCAACCCCTCTGCTGCGCCCTCGGCCGCCAACAGCCCGCCTCAGTTCTGGGCCACCCTGACCTCCAACCCCGGCCACAATGTGCCCGAGCCACGGAGCGCCTTCTCGAGCGACGACTATCGTCCCAACAGCCGGAATTACCTCTACATGGTGCCCCAGTGCGTCGAGCTCTACTACGAGCACATCTACCCCATCATGCCGCTGCTGTATATGCCCGCCATCCGCCAAACCATTGCCCGCCCCATGACGCCCTCGGAGAAGAACCTCATCTACGCCCTGTGCGCGCTCACGTCCATGCACATGTCAGGTAAGAGCATCGAGGCTCCCGGCCCGCCCTCATGGGAGGTGGCCGGCCGCTTCTTCCTCGACGAGTGCATCTCGGTGCGGCAGTCGTACGACTTTCTCGAAGACCTGTCGCTCTCTGCCGTCATCTCGTCGTTTTACCTGTCAACGTCCTTCTTCGAGATTAACCAGTCTCGAAAGTCGTGGCACTATCTTCGCGAGGCCCTGAACAACGCACAGGATCTCGGCCTCCAGAACGACTCGACGTACTATGGCCTTAGTCCAGAAGACACGCTCTGCCGACAGCGCGTCTTCTGGATCCTCTTCGTCACGGAACGGTATGTTTCTGTACTTGATGCAGAGTTGGTACCCCATGGCATCACTGACGGTATTGCAGCTCCTTTGCCATCCTTCGCAACAAACCCATCACATTTAAGCAAACCCCTTCGCTCCCTTCAACACGCCACTCGTACGAATCCCCCGACATCCACGCCGGCTTCCTCCAGCTCGTCTCGTCGTACACGCCCCTCGACGAGTCCTTCGTCACCGCCTGGAACGAAGGCTCCGACCCCCGTGTCAGCGCCGCCACCTTTGTCGCACTCCAGAACCTCCTCGCCCTGCCGCCCATCTTTCTGCGGCCCCGCTCCCCGACGTCGCTCTTCGCCAGTAGCACCGACCCCTCGACGCCCGAGCCGACCGACATCCAGAAGGCCGACCTGCTCGTGACGCAGCAGTGGCTGCGTCTGATCGTCTGGCAGTCTTCGATGCGGCAGCAACTCCTCTCGTGGACTAACCCCGCCGACGCGCCCGACCCCAACGCGCCCCCGAACAGCATGTGCTTCTCCTTTCCCCTCTCCGTCGCCCGCGACACGGCCGCCATCCTGGCGTCGCTGCCGCCAAAGGCGGTCGAGGTGCACGGCATGGGCATCATGGAGAAGATTTTCGAGATTGGCACCTGGTGCGTCAACGTCCTCGGCGCCTGCGAGAGCGTCGGCTTCGCGCCCGGCGGCATGGACCTGACGGCCGGCGACCTGGGCGTGCTGAACACGGGCCGCCGCAGCTCGAGCAAGGACCCCATAGAGTTCTTCGTCCGCACGCTGAGCGCCAGCCCCAACAGCAGGGTGCAGTTTGCCGAGAAGCTGCTCAAGGCCGCGGGCGAGAACCCGGGCTGCATGCGCGTCGCGCTGAGCCCCGGCGTCGGCGGCGGGCTCGGCGAGGTGCCGCCCAACTGGAGGGGCGAGGTGCTGGGCGAGGTCGTCGACGAGGGCGTCACGCTCAAGGAGGAGGAGATGATGGTGGCCGCCGGCATGGGCGAGCTGGACCTCGCCAACGCTGTGGATGTGCCGAGCATGGGCCTCGGCATCATGCCCGTCGACATGGCGGCGGCGGCGGCGGCGGCAGCAGCAGCGGCTGCAACAGCGGGGCGGGCTCGCGGGCGACAGCGTCGACTGACGAGCCCGCTGACCATGAC